GGACGATCTATCAAGCTCTATATCCTGGACCAGATTAAAGTCACCTCCAATTATAATTTGATGCTCATTGAGATTAGGTATAGAAGTAAAGAATTTGGATATTAATTTGTCATCGTACCAATTCGGAGCATATAGCGAGGCCAGGACCACAGGTGTATTTTGTAATTTGCCAGATACTATAACGTACCGGCCGTTCGGATCAGATATAGCAGTGTTTAGTTCAAAGGCAATATCCCTGTGTATAATGATAGCTGCCCCTCTAGCCCTCTCGGAAAACCTCGAATGAAACAAGTGACCCATCCATGGCCTCTTGACGCGAGACATTTCCGCCGTGCGGAGGTGTGTCTCTTGTAAAAAGCAGATGTCTCCTCTAAGGTGTTGCAAATGTGAAATTACCTTGTTGGCTTTGGTGATATTGTTCATCCCTTTAACGTTCCAGGAAATAAACCGGATATTTCTACCACTCACTGACATAGTCCTTTAAATTGTGGCATAACATGAGCAGAGAATAAACTAAAAGGGGAGGGGGAGAGAGAAAACAGGAAATTGGGGGGGGGGGAGAAACACACACACACACACACACACACACACACACACACACACACACCACACCCCAGTCCCATTGGGAACATCAAACATGTGTATCTCCTTGGATACAAACCTTCCTGACGTGGGTCAGTCCTATCCTTCCCTTACTTAACCTCCGTTCCCTCTACATTGAACAGTGAACACATTCCCCATAAAAACCCCTGAGTTAGCTGCCATAACCGACATCAACCTGGCAGAATAACACCAATTATCTGAGCACAACCAGCTAATCACAAACGTATGTAAACAGTGAGACTGACATTCAACTTAAAGTGCTATATTTAGAAACAGTGACCAGTCTACGTAAACATTTGCTTATAGGGAGTCCTTCGTAGAGTAACAGGACTAGTTGCTGTACAGTTCAGCGTAGCAATAGTGCAGTCCGGGCTATGCTAATGAGCAGCTAAGTTAGACCACTCAGTAATGTGGCAAGTTAGCAGATGGGCCGACCATAGCTACTGTGTTTTATAGCAGTGCATGCTACCTCTGTTTAGCGGCAAGATACTTCTTAGCTTCCTCGACAGATGACAGCCGAACTTTGTCTCCATTCTCCGCCGTAATCATCAGCTTGGCCGGGTACTGGAGAGCAGGCCTGATTCCGAGTTTATACAGCTGCGCCATCACCTCGCGGTACAGAGCTCGCTGCATCACAACCTCTGGAATATAATCTTCGTAGAAGGCAATCGGTTTCCCCTCGTACCGTAGATCCGCTCTCATTTTCCGGGCTTCACGGATGACTCTTTCCTTGGTCTGGAAGTTGTGAAATTGGATGATGACAGGCCTCGGTCTTTCCCCAGGCTTCGGCTTCGCGGCTAACGACCTGTGAGCCCGGACCAGTTCAGGAGAAGTAGGCAGGATTTGGTCCCCCAGAAGCTGGGGTAGTAGGTCGGAGAAGAAGGCGGTTGGTCGCAGGCCCTCAATCGACTCCGGGAGACCAATGATGCGGATATTCTTGCGGCGGCTGCGGGCCTCGAGGTCTGCAGTTTTCGCCCGCAGCTTAGCATTGCTAGCGGCTAGCTCCGCGCATGTAGCTTCCAAAGTCGACAGGCGCCCGTCGACCAAATCCGCATTCGACTCCAAAGAGGTAATACGCTGCCCATGATCAGAGATAGTCGCATGAATCAGATCAATTTTGGACTCGAGTGCGGCGATGACAGTTTTGAATTCCGTTGAGAGGGACACTTTATGGCTCTCCAACAAGCTGGTTAGCGCCTCCATGCTAACGTCGCTAGTAGCGACGTTCTCCGTAGGCATAGAGTCTTTCTTGACTTGTTTTGCGGGCTTTGATGGCATGTCTCCTTAAGGTATAAAGTTGCTCAGCTGTTATGTATCGACTAGTGTAAGTATGAAGTGAGTAATGAGGTTTCTACCTAATAAAAAAGTTGGAAGCGAGGGAGCGGAAGAAAACACGTCTACTCCTCACTCTTCATTCCGGAAGTCTCCAACCTCATTCTTAATAGAAAACGTAGTGATCTGTGCATTATACAGGGAGGAGACGGGATTTGCCCTCTCGTCCCGGGCGGAGAGATTGAAAAAAAGGGTTTTGCCTATCTGTAACATTGTGTTAATGTTATTGTCAGGGCTTGAATTGGGGGGGGAAGTGCCAGTACCCCATTATTTGCATACTAGCATGCGTATCAGTAAAACATTACTACATGGAATACAAAGCAAAGTTATTCTCATCTGCTCCAGGTTAAATTAAACTGCCCTTTAAGCCAATTGTGCAAATTGCCCAACATATGCAGGTTAGCATCTGTCAGTGCTGGGGACCAGTACTATACATTTTTTAAATAAAACGTTGGGGTCCTCAACATCTCCGGGTTCACTATGCTGGCAACTTGCCTAGAGCCTTAAACAGACCCTGAACAAAGCCCTGCTTTAATGTTCCACCTTGGTCTGGCGTGGCATGAGGACTTGCACCCAGCTGTGGCGGGGCCACCCTGGCACCATGTCGGTCATGTTCATGCCACAAGGGTCACAGATGGGGGGGGGGACAGCAGCTGCTCTCAGGAGGCTGGCAGACTGAGCAGTGCTAATGCAATGCAGCTACTCGTGCACATATGCTCATGTGAGCACATTATGAGCATTCACACAGCACTACACACATGTGCATAGGAGATACTTTTGTAAACATGTTTCTGTAACAAGGTCATTTATTTGGTCACAATAAAAAATAATGAAATAAGATAAGGTAAGATTTACTTCATTGATCCCACTTTGGGAAATGTTTTCAACACAGCAGCATGTAAATAAAGCATTGCACATGATACAATGAGAAGAAAATAAACAAACATCTACATAAATAACAAAAATGTGCAAAATAGAAGATAAAACAGAACTAAAAAGTACAAATATATACATAATGACAGTGAAAGATACAAATATCTAGACTATCTGTCATATATACTGTATATACTAAGAAGGGCCAATGTAGGATATTATAAACATTAAGTATTCAAGGAACCGCATATTACATTTAATATAAATGTAAAAGATAAAGTGTGAAGACACTTTATGAAGATGGGTGAAAAACGTTTTTGAAGGGAAAGGTGGTGGAGTCCAGTTATCAAAGCAACATAAGAAACTATGGATTTTTCATGTAGCGCCATCATCAGGTCGAAACTGAGCTCAAAGCACAGCTGATCCTGCGGAGTCACACAATCTTCTTAGTGACTCCCTTCGTAAACTAGACACATACAGAGAGATCTTCTTTTCTTTTTTCAGAAATAATATGCTTGCTACTTATAATAAAGGTTCATTATTTTGAAATTAAAACAACAAGGTTATTTTTCTGCTAAACGGCCAAGAAAACAGCAGAATTAGGTCATCATTCTGCAGGACTTTATTTTAGAAGCATAACTGTACATTGTATTTGAAATGTTTCTTCATTCAGTATATCCAGAAAACCTTGTGTGTTAGAGCAGGTCCACAACCATTTTATAGAGCTGTCGAAAATGTTGTCTCACTGTTTATCTTTTCACCTCAGGGTCATTTAAAAAATGCATTTGACTCAAATTGCATTTGAATTTCTGATGTACTTGCAGCTTACCACATTCTCTCTCTCTCTCTCACACACGCACGCACACACGCACCCACACACGCACCCACACACACACACACACACACACACACACACACACACACACACACACACACACACACACACACACACACACACACACACACACACACACACTGTGATGGTGGGTTAGGGCTCTGCTCTGGGAGATAAGATAGGTCAGCAGCGGTGCTGGGTGGGTGTGGGTGTTGGGGGGGCTGCATGGTGAATAGCAATGTCCAAGACTAATCGGGATTAACTTCTAATCGCTTCAACCACTGGGCTGCTATGCAAATCAGCTACATTATAGGCACAGGCCCTGGCCCCTGATTGGCCCTTATCATGTCTGGGCTAGGACACAGCAGGGGGAAGGGAGTTGGGGGAGGGGGGGCTGGTTGTCCACAGCATGGCTGCTCTCTTGGAATGAACACTGCTGCAGATTATTTCCGTCTAAAAATAGACTGACTCTTTGATTCTTTCATAATGCTAATTTATTCTGACTTTTCCCTGTGTTATTACATCAGAACCCTTGTGTTCATTAAAATGCACGTGTCTGTACATAGCTGGGGGGGGGGTACTCAATATTGGTCCTCTCCAATATGTGGTTCACAGCCTCTGGTCAGACGGCCATGGAGTTTGGATAATGTTCATCAGATGATTATAGTGATGCTTCTTGTTGTGCCACTATCAAGCTAAAGGGTATAATCATACACAGAAACAATATTTCAATTTAACTGGAAGATTGCCATGATGTTTAGCAAATTACATCATATTACACTGTTTAACTGTAGTGCACTTTTACTGCTGAGTATAATATTAACAAGAGTGATTGTAGAAGACATGATGTTGTCCTTTAAAGGCGCATCAAATTCTAAAACATTTATATGGGATGTTCTGAGCAACACATTTTGGCATTTAATTGGTAGGATATGTTATTTGTTGGTTACGACAAAACATAAATACTAACTTTACATCAAAATCATCAGTAACTCAAACATTTAGCATTTTAGTTCACAATAATTAAGGATCAGTTACTTTTTACAATTTGAGGTATCAGCATATAGTGAATATCTTATGTCTATAAAGCTTCAAAGACCTGCAGATCAATAACATTCAGTTACTTTTTGAAATGTTGTGAATTTTGTATCCATATAGAATACATTTTGTTGAAATAATAGTAAAATATTATTGTGCAAAGGAAGTGTAACCCACCTTCAGTTGTACATTATATCCCAATGTATATCACAAATGATGGTAAAAAAATAAATAAAAAGCCATGAGTAGTTATTTAGAGTCTCCATTTGACAGCCAATCGTAGTTTATTTTAACCACCCTGTTATCTCATGTATTTCAGTTACGGACGAGTATACGCTGCCGACCCCTACAACCACACACTCACTCCAGCAGCCACATACATGGTAAGACCTGCCACACATCTGTCCTGCATTCATTATACCACTTCCTTTCTTCATTTCGACAAACATGTCTCCAAAATACACATTTGAGCTCAAGCATCTTGCATGTCATCTGCATGATCACTGAGAGCTGCACAAACTTGAGATGAGTGAGACTAACTGACCAAACATTCCATTTGGTGTTTATGGAAAATATGGAAACTGAGTTTTGGGGGCATATTTATTTTAAAACCGTGCGAAGCATAAAAATACATTATCACAGTAAGTTAAACACAAAGGATTCTTGTGGACATCTCCCTCTTCTAGACTACAAATCACACTCTCCTCTTATGGCGCATTTCCACTACAGGGCCTCGCTCGGCCTCCCTCGGTATGGCTAGGCCTCGTTAGGCCTCGTTAGGACTGGCTCACTTTATGCTGTGTTTCCATTACAGTTTAGTAGCTGGGGCAGTAACTATAGTAACGCAGTGTAGGCGGAGCGGTGACGTCATCTTCAATGCGAACCACAAAACCAAACATCAGCCGTTAGCTCTTAGCACTCAGAGCTCACAGCTCCTCATATCTGTTCAGAAACTAGACAAAAGTTAAACAAGTACAAACCACAGACTGCCTGTGTCATGGAGAATACAGTCGCTGGTTTATTTATGTCTGTAGGCCGTTGTTGTGAGTGTGGACGGTCGGAGCATATACTGCGTTAGCTTAGCCGATCTCCATTCAGAAAACACGCATTTTAAAAGGTGTTTCGCCTGCCGTCTGTCTGCAGACTTGTCAAAGCATTAATTCATGGTTTTTACTAATCGGTATCAGTATGTTGTTACTTCGGCATCATTTTGAAACGTGTATTACAATTAAATCACGGTCAAATATGTTCATCTTGTTGTAGTTGTAGCCCCCTTGCCAGCGATTCTCTCTCTAGTTTAGCATACTCAGCCCGACTCAGCCTGGTTGTTGGCCCGGAAAGAACCTCGATTTTATGGGGCCAGAAAAACTGTGAAATAGGACCCGCTAGCCGGAACTACGCCAAGTGGAAACGCAACCAAAAACGGGCCGGGCACGGCTCGGCACGCTTAAAGCGAGCTCCACGCTGTAGTGGAAATGTGCCATTAGTGTCTGCAGTTATACTGTAGAGCTGGTTCACTGTTCTGGGACCAGGATGCAATCAGAATGGAACATCTCCACTTAACTGCTTAGTTTCCAATCAGCATTGATATGACATCACATAAATATGATAGAAATGCTCCTTTCTTTATGCCTATATTACAAAATATACATCGTCCAATAATGATTGGACGATGTATATTTTGTAATATAGGCATAAAGACCATAGCATCTTAACTAGGGGCTGGTCCAAGGTAAGCCTGAGCTGGAACCAACTAAGCTTTATCAAAGAGGCAAGCCATAAGCCTACTGTCAAATGTGTCTTCAAGTGGGATAATATTGTATTGTAAGTACTTTAACATAAGTTGTTGCCTGATCATTGAAGGCTTTGAAGGTAAGGAGAGTGAATTATTAATTGTATTCTGGATTTTTACAGGGAAAGAAGCTAACATATATATGTTATAAATATGAACTTGTTTCCTAGTCAATACACTGGCCACCGTATCAACTGTAGAGTCTGAAACAAATGTTATGATAGAAGAACATATATCATTACATAATGCATTTTGGCGGTGTTTGAGGCCAATTACAATAACTACTAGCTTGAAATGCATCAGTTTTTATTTGGGTATTATGTTTGGGTAGTATGTTTATGTATTGTTTTTAAGAATATTGCCTAAAGTAGGCATAGATAAGAAGATAAGAATAGGTCCAAGTACAGAACCTTGCAGAACTCCATGGTATATTGAGACAATTACATTTTCTGATGCAATTGGGCCATGTATATTACAAACAGGATTGGTGACAAAGCAGCCTTGTTGTAATTCCTGTTTGTAATATACATGGATCGGATTTCGAGGCGTAGTCGTGGGGGAGGGGGTCTGCAGTTCGGTGGACTAAGGATTGCACCACTGCTTTTTGCAGATGATGTGGTTCTAATGGCTTCATCGGTCTGCGACCTTCAGCACTCACTGGATCGGTTCGCAACCGAGTGTGAAGCGGCTGGGATGAGGATCAGCACCTCCAAATCTGAGGTCATGGTTCTCAGCAGGAAACCGATGGACTGTCCACTCCAAGTAGGGATTGAGTCCTTACCCCAAGTGAAGGAGTTCAAGTATCGGTCTTGTTGTCTTGTCTTGTTCTCGAGTGAGGGAACAATGGAGCGTGAGATGGGCCGGAGAATCGGAGCAGCTGGAGCGGTACTGCAGTCGCTTTACCGCACCGTTGTGACGAAAAGGGAGCTGAGCCAGAAGGCAAAGCTCTCTGTCTACCGGGCCATTTTCGTTCCTACCCTCACCTATGGTCATGAGGTCATGACCGAAAGAACAAGATCGCGGATACAAGCGACCGAGATGGGTTTTCTCCGCAGGGTGGCTGGTGTCTCCCTTAGGGATAAGGTGAGAAGTTCGGTCATCCGGGAGGGACTCGGAGTTGAGCCGCTCCTCCTTCGCGTCGAAAGGAGCCAGTTGAGGTGGTTCGGGCACCTAGTTAGGATGCCACCTGGGCGCCTCCCTAGGGAGGTGTTCCAGGCACGTCCAGCTGGGAAGAGACCAAGGGGTAAACCTAGGACCAGGTGGAGGGATTATATCTCTTCGCTGGCCTGGGAGCGCCTTGGGATCCCCCAGTCAGAGCTGGTTGATGTGGCCAGGGAAAGGAACGTTTGGGGCTCTCTGCTGGAACTGCTACCCCCGCGACCCGACCACGGATAAGTGGGAGAAGATGGATGGAAGGATGGATGCAATTGGGGGAAATATGTTTTGTCTTTTACCGCTGCAGTCTGTGCCCTAAGGCTGTTTTGGTACTGGGTTCTCGGTTCCAGCCCAGCAGATTGTCGGTTCCAAATGGGAAGGTTTTTTATGGGCTCCAAACCGGTGGTGGAAAAGGGGAATATAGGCTCATATAGAAAAAGGGAAGGTTATATGTCCATTGTTGGTTTAATTCTCTGGATCAAGACTGGTCGTTTTAAAAACAAGTTTAATTTCAACCTCATAATAAGAAAAGGTTGATCAAATTTCACCAACCGCACTCCGCAATCTTCATCCTCCATACTGTCTCCCTCCCCCACCCCATTATTTTCTTCAGTTGCTGTGTATAAGCTTTTCTGCAGCATTGACATCTCCTCACTTTAATTTAATTTGTCTGTCCTGCTAACGGCAGTCCAAATTACACATTAATCCCGCCTGTAGAAGGTGATGAATGTCTTCATGCCTTGGCAGCCCAGTCCATGTTAGTTATTATATTTATAATTTGATGTATACCACTTCAACCTGCAATCCCTGGTAATGAAATAATTAGTCATTTTGATAATTAAATCTGTTGCGACGCCACACACTGGGAGGGGGCCAGGAAGAAAGAAATGAGTTGGGCGGACCGGTTAGCAACATAGCCGTCCAAACCCACAGCTCAGAGTGTTGGCAAACACAAGCACATTGTCAGTCAGATGTCAGTGCAATAGACCAATAACTGGGAAATATGCTATTGTTATGATATTGTACATGGCTTCATTGTTCACATAGTAATAGGAAATGTGTCACAAATCAGCTGAGGTGGAAGTAGTATTCAGATCTTGTACTTAATGGGGACCTATCATGCAAAATGCACTTTTTGATGTCTTTTATACATAAATATGTGTCCCCGGTGTGCCGGGGAACTCATGCAGCGTCAGAAAATAAAACCCTTTCTCTTTTCCTCCGTACCCAAATCTTTAAAAAACGGGAGTATAATGAGCGGATACAGATTTGCCGCCGATCTGACGTCAAATAGGCAGCGGACCCACAGAAAGTTGCTATCAGAAACAATGCCTGACGTGTTTTGGACGTAATCTCGTCTTTGTTTACATTAGCAAGCCTCGCTAACACTCAGAGCTAACCTGTACTGGAGAGCCAACCTGATCTCACCAGAATGCGTGACTCCACCACGCAACCTTAACACCGCATTGCGTGGTGGAGTCACGCATTCTGCTACATTTACGTGTCGGCACCACGCAAAAAACCCCAATGTAAAGTGAATGAGGCTCTTTTGTCGTGGTGCACACACGCATTTCTACAACGTCCCGCAGTGAGCTTTTATTCTATAAAAATTTAAATCTACTTTATAGCTTGTAGTAACTCACAGGAGGCTTCTTTTATTTTATTTGTATTCATAATAATTTGTATTTGTCGTCAGAATGTATTATGGTGCATTAGTCACACATTTTTGTTCTAAAAAAACAGTGCATTGTGTGTAATACAACTGTGATTTTTATGAAATTAGTTAGTTTTTAAGGAAGGCCAGAGCTTCAGCTGTGTCAATAGATTGTTCCCTTTAGTTAACGTTATTTAAAAGATAATGATCATGTCCCCTTTATTGTATTACGAGCATCCATTCCCATTGGATAACGGAGAATTTTACACCCGGAAGTAAGTATTCTCCTTACTGTCGATTGATTTTACAGTGATATCTGAACTACTCATCAACTCAAAAACACCAGATTATCCTTGTTAATTACACAACATTGATTGGTTTAAATTGTGTGCAATGCTTTTGTATTTTCCCCTTCGATTCGGAGAAACGAATATTTGTTCGGAGTTTTTGGATGGCAGAAGACACTACACTACCCAGAATCCTCAGCTATCGTTTGGGACTACACCATGTGCTCTGTTTGACAAACCCCGTGATCAGTCCTCAAGCTCTGTGATTGGTTGACCTCCAACTGCATTCCATATGAAAAAAAAACGTTTCGTAAAAGATAAAATCATACTTTATTCAGCAGTGCTTGCTTTACTCTTTGAAAGTCATCACATTAATGCATTGTAATAAATGGTTTGGCTGCATTAAATATTACACATCTATCGTAGTTCTTTATTTATCTACAGAGATCGGGCATCAGAATAGGCCGGAAACTATTATTTTACCGTTCTGTTTTA